ATCATGCTGCATTTCAGTCAAACCGCTTCTTCCCATTTAATTACAAACCCGCAGCGGTGACACATCAACGTCAACACTGGCGCCACTGACCCTGGTAACAGGACAAGACAGTGCGACATACTGGCTTGTCACTGCTCTCACCTCGGACGGTGAGGAAGTGTTTTTGTTCCTTGTCGCTCCTCATCTTCCAGTGAACTTTAAAGTCCCTGAAGCCAGCCAGCCAGCCTTCTGCCTCACAGCCTCGATGCCAACACGCCCCACAGGCCCCACAGGCCACAACAAAAGGGGCTCTGAAAACAAGCCCTCCAAACTTTGACTGGCAACCTGCCGGCGCCATCCGCCCCAGTGCTTCACACAGATACTTTGCAGATTTAGAAAGATAAGAGTTAAGCCTTGGATCCTCCTTTCCTTTTGGTCTTCTTTTCTTTTCTTTGCCAATTTGGGACATCTGCTCTGAAACCACAGCATCACACCCCCACCACAGTTACTCAAAAGCCTAAAGTCTCTTCCTGCTCTTCTCTATCCATGGCCTTTCCCCTCCCCTGGTGGGGATTTGTGATTCAAACTGGGCTGAGGGACCTAAACCCCTCTAGCTCATCAGCAAACATACAAATGCATAATCTGCTCTTTCTTTCCATCCCTTTCATATGCATGCTAATGATCTCTGTTGGCCCCTCTTTTCACCAAGAGCTCAGTGCTTTGGTGCTTTGAAACACACCCTGGTAGCCTGATGCTGGCCTTAAATGCTGCACCAGTCTGGAGCTTATCATGTTCTTACAGTGTACAATGGACAGTGTCACAGTGTTTGATGAGTTTTCATTTCTTGGCAACATGACAGCACAGTCCTGGCCTCCTAGTCAAACACACACAACTCAGCTGTGATATGTCACATCCACCCTGTCAGATTCACTATAGCAGCCACCAATTAAAAGAACAGCTTGAGGTTTAGGAAATTAGCTTATTTGCTTTCATGCTGAGAGTTAGATGACAAGATTGATGTCACTCTCATGTCAGCTAAGGTAATTATGTACCTGAAACTGGCTACCGGTGCTAGCATCTAGAGTTCTTTCCTCCTGGTTCTGGTCTTAATGCTAAGCTAAACTAAACAACAGGTGGCTGTAGCTTCATAATTAACAGACATGAGAGTGGTATCGATCACTTCATCTAACTCCTGGCAAGAAAAACAATTATATTTCATTATACATATATATATTATTTTATATGTCAAACTATTTCAATAAAGCTACAAACTAACAGGTAACTGTGATTTAGCATACATCCTTCCTCCTCCTTACGTTTCATCCTTCCTCACTTGCTCACTTCCTCCTCCTGACCTCATTCACTGCTCTGTCCCTGCTGATTCTCCTCACAGTGCGGGTGCCTGTGGCCCAGGGATCAGCAGTCACGGGTGGCAGCAGTGGTGTAGCAGCGGGCGAGCAGACACTTTTCTGATGTGCAGTATGCCGTCCTTCAAAAAGGGCACTGACACCCGTTAATCACTGGCCGGGGCTTCAGAGGCCATTTGCTGGATCACACGCTCCAGAGACGGAGCCACAGACGGGCAGAGGTGGTGAAGCCTCTCTGAGCACAAAGTGCACTGTCATGCTAATCACCAGTTCCTGCAACACTGAAGGCTTTTATGAGGAAGGCGCTCAGTGGTAAAGGAGAAATTGGGAAGCATTATTTACCACCACTGTGTGTGTGTGTGTGTGTGTGTGTGTGTGTGTGTGTGTGTGTGTGTGTGCGTGAGGGTGTTTTGGCGTTGCAGCTTTCATATTAACAAATCACTTGAGGGGAAAATTGAGTACTTTTGTAAAAAGATGTTTTGAAGGTCCCATTTATATTTTTCGTTAGGCACAATGCTGTAGCACAGATTGCATTTAGTGCCAGCTGCTTCGCTGAAATGTTCAGATAAAATGCTTGAAGACCAGGGTTAGGGAGTAATGGATTATCCTTAACAAGATTATAATAATCTGGTTACAAGAAATGGTGAATGGAATCCATTCATTTGGATTAAGAAAGAAGAATGTCACATAACTTTATAGCTTTATTCAGAGTTTAATGTAGAGATATGAGCAAATTAAGAAATTAAATATTATTTTCTAGGATCTTAATGGTCGATTAGCATATGTCAGAAGAAAAAAATGTCTATAATATATATAGAGGGTAATATGTTCCACATTTGAGCACATTTTAGTAACTGAAGTACAACCGCAATAAGATAATTAATGTTTAATGCCAGGTGGAGTGCTGAAAGTGATACTGAAAAGCTGGTGCTTCATAGAGACACTTATTCTGCTACGTGTTCACTCTAATTCTTGTACTGTAGGTATCATCACTGATATGAACAGATTAATAAAATCTGCCACCACAACCTTTTTAAAAGTAAGATTAAAAGCTTTTAGTAAAACTATAACATTTAGGTCATAAATTGTATTCACATGGTATGTTTCAGTGTTACTGCAGCTATCTTCTCTCTATGCAATGCTTCATTCATTTGCTGCTTTCACACCATGACATTCACAGTAATTTAATTAAAATTGAGCCAGTTTCACGTAAAACATTATTGCTGAAAAGACTTTGATTTCCATTTGTGCTCGCAGTGCAGAAATGCAGAAATTCCTCAGCGCAGAGTGTGAAAAAGAGCCGGCACAAAGTCGTTAAAAAGGATATTTTTGTGTCTCTCCTCACAGTTTCAGCTTAGTGCTGCGTGCGCTTCAGCATAAAGGGGGTAGTTTTCCATTGATGAGCTGGCACAGGCAGCTTCAGTACCAGCAGCAGCAAATCACTGCTCTGTTAAAAGGCCCTGATGCGTGGCAAACTCTCCTGACAAGCCTCCTCGCTCCAAATCTGCCTTCTTGCATACCCTCTGTAATTGGAGGCATTAAACTTGCTTTGGACAGGATGGCAAATGAGTGGCTTTGAGCTTGGAAGAGAACTGACTGGTGCATTCGTAAGGGGTGCACAAGGAGATGCAGCTAAATCCGACAAATCACTGCCAATCTAGCAGATCAGTGTGTGGTGTATAGTTATGTATTTGAATATGAATTTGTTTGTAATGCGCCCATGTGATCTTTCTTTCCCTGTATCCTTGGCTGCTGTTTGCGAGTGATTATCTACATCCAGTCTAACGGCCTGAGCCGCTGTTAATCTCTCAGTAATCGTCGGGATCACTTTGGTGATGTAGGGATTTGACTTTGAACCGCAGACTGTCTGGTCACTGACAAGCAACTGGCGACCATGAAATAAAGCTGCCTGTCATCCTGCCACCACGTCCTCAGTTTTCACTCCACCAAGCACACTTATTAAAATCTCTGTGAGAAACTGTCACAGATGATTCACTCTCACTTAATGGTCTGTAATACAATAATGAGATATTTTCCTTTAAGTTTGTTGCCATTTTGCATCATCTTTAAAATGCAGTAGTGAAGAATATGACACATCCAGCTCTGCTAAGATGGAGGGAGCAGCAAGCCTGCGAAGCTGGAAACGCTTCAGATGTTTAATGGCACACAGGATGCAAATCTCACTTTTGACATTGTGTCAGATCCCATAAGTAAGAGGAAAAATACCAAGCAGATCCCATATGTAAGAGGAAAAATACCAAGCAAACGCATTTACAATAGACCCTTTACAGTAAAAGCCAAGTCCACTTCGAGACATGTCCTAAAACTGCTTTTCACAGGAAGACGTCCTCCTCAGCAGACTTGTATGTACTGTATAGCAGCAGTTTTACACAACTTCTTTCTTGTATCCGGGGAAAGTGCAGCTACACCATCACAAAGCATTTAACTGCTATCCACCTGCAAAGCTCTGACACACATGATAAATGCCATGCCCCAGTGGCAGTCCACTGTCTGCATATTGTACATTTCTGATGGCCTCTGCATCGGCCCTGTGCATATACATCCGGTGAGAGCAGCAGAGATGATTAGACAACATGTAGAGAACATGACACCGCAGTCCCCCCCCCCTTTGGTGGATGATCATATAGCAGGTGTCTCAACAGCCAGTCAAAGATGGTTAAGTATGAAGCCCCGGTAGACGAGCTTTCTCTCAGTCAATAAAAAGAGAAGGTGACAGCTTCACTCATCTGTGCCGGTACAGAGAGAGACCTGGTTTGTGTCCTAGCTGACAGATTAAAACCAAACAGCGATGACATTTGGTGCGAAGCCAGATTCACTTTGCCTCCTTGAAGCCTCTCCGGTAGCAACACAGACTGAAATCCCCAGAATAGTCTGCTGGTCTCGCTAATTGGCGAGCTGCACGGACTGGCCTTTGATTAATCTTAGATCTTAATGAGTCCATCCGAAGCTGCTGTGATATTCCGACTGAGGAAGTAAAACACTGTTGCTATTCCCTCTTTTCATCCCTCGGCCAGATGAGAGACCTCAGACTGCAGCCTAGTGAACCCGCAGAGAAATCAAAGAGAATACCAGAGATCCGTTTAATAATTTATTTGCATATGATTATTGTAAAAATACTGAAAGAGAAATGCTTATTTTTGTTCTAGTTTTCTGGCATTATTTTCTTTTTTCTTTCTTTTTTTGTTTTACAATCTAATACACCTTTAATTGCACAGGAAAACGTCTGCCCTAACAGACACACATTAGATTTTCTCCTTTCATTGTGACACATAGGTTCAGATATTTAGTGACCATCACACTGTAATTTCTCCATTTGTTTGCGCCTCTACAATAAACAAGCATATAAACAAGGGTCATAGAGAGGCCAGATAGTTGTAAAGGCTGAGCAGATTGGTCTAATAGAAAGATATATACAGGCAGTTGTTTTAAATAGGAACTGCACTGACAGCTGAGCGCTGAAGAAAAACACATGTCAAGAGAAATGAACCAATGAGTGACGTCTCTGTAGGTCAGGTCAATATTAAAGTCATGGAGCCATCATCTGGATAGTGACCTTTATGATTC